GACTTCATGAACTAGTTTATCTGCAACTGTTGAAGCTTCATGATTTGGAATGGCGAAGACTTCTGGCCACTTAGTGAAGTAATCCATCACTACCATGAAATACTTGTTACCACTTTCACTTTCCGGAAACGGCCCCGCAACGTCAATGGCTATCCTCTCCCATGGTGCACCAACATTGTACAATTTCAATGCGCCTCTACTACGAATTTGAGGTCCCTTTACAGCCGCACAACTTGTACATTTGCGGCACCAGTCCTCGACATCGTCACGACAGTGGACCCAGTAAAACCGTTCTCGGATCTTCAGGAGAGTTCGTTTAACTCCCAGGTGGCCTCCTGAAGAACTACTATGGTATAGTTGTAGAACATCCGGTACTTTAGCCTTAGGGACAACCATTTGCAAATGACATCTGTCTCCCCGACCATTTTCCCATTTACGGCACAGGACTCCATCCTGAATCAGCAAGCTGTCCCATTGGGCCCAATAGCTTTTCGTGGTCGAACTCATTGCTGAGACGTCGCTCCACTTGGGCTTAGGAGCACTGGCCTTCATCCATTCCAGAATCGGCTTAATGTCCGAATCTTCCTGCTGTGCATGTTGTAGGCTGTCCTTCCACTCATTGCTGAGCTGGTCTGTCCTGAGCATTCTCACAGATACCACTTCCTTACCCTCTTGCCTAGTACAATGCTTGCAATCTTCAGGGCAAGGTCTTCTTGACAATGCATCTGCATTGCCATGAGATTTCCCGCTGCGATGTTCGATCACAAAGTCGTATTCCTGCAGTAGTTCTATCCATCTCGCAACTTGTCCTTCCGGATTTTTGAACTGCAATAGCCATTTCAGTGCAGCATGGTCAGTTCGTAAGTGGAATTTCCGCCCTAGAAGATATTTGCTAAAATGCTGCAAGGACTTTACCACAGCAAGCAATTCCCGTCTTGTGACACAATAGTTCCTTTCCGGCTTTGACAACGACTTGCTGAAGTACGCTATCACAATCTCTTGATCACCATTCCGTTGAGACAACACACCGCCAAGTCCTATATCACTTGCGTCTGTGTCAACTATGAATTCCTTGCCCGCATCAGGGTACCCCAAAATAGGTGTTTTGCACAGGCGGTTCTTGAGCTCCTGGAATGCAATATCGCAACTTTCATCCCAGCAGAATTGTCGCTTCTCCTCGGTTAGCTTGTGCAGAGGTTTGGCTATATCTGCAAAGTTCTTCACAAATCGCCGATAATAAGAGCACAAACCCAAAAATGCTCTAACCTGTGTCTTGTCTTTTGGGACCGGCCACTCCTTGACAGCAGCAATTTTCTCTGGATCCGTGCGGATACCTTCTTCCGACACTACATACCCCAAAAAACTAACTTGCCGTTTGAATAGTGAGCACTTCTTTGGACTCAACTTGAGGTTGGCACTCTGGATCTTCATGAGCACGCGTTCCAGGTTTTGAAGGTGTTCCTCAAACGTACGGCCTACGATGATGATGTCATCCAAATAGACCAGACAAGCATCTCCAATTAGCCCGGTAAGTACAAGCTCCATCAACCTTTCAAACGTTGCTGGAGCATTGCACAATCCAAACGGCATGACTTTGAATTGCCACAGACCCTTTCCTGTGGAGAATGCAGTTTTCTCCTTGTCCTTAGGGTCAATTTCAACCTGCCAGTAGCCACTTTTCAGATCTAGCGTACTAAACCACTTTACGCCTGTAAGCATATCCAGCGTGTCATCAATTCTTGGCAAGGGATAGCTGTCCTTCTTTGTAATGTCGTTCAGGCGGCGATAGTCAACACAAAACCGCATGCTGCCGTCCTTCTTCTTTACCAGCACCACAGGTGAACACCATGGACTAGATGAAGGTTCAATAACACCATCCTTCACCATTCCCTCAATCATGGTTTCCACTTCCTTTTCACGTGCTACAGGCAATCTTCTTGGCCGCTGACGAATAGGCAATTCTTGTCCTGTGTTTATTTTGTGTTGAACTAAGCCAGTCTTTCCTATGTCAGCTTCGTTTGACGAGAAAACATTGGCGTACTTGAGTAACAACTTCTTCGCCTTGACCATTTCATTCGGGGAAAGAACGCTGCGACAGTCTTCCAAAAGTGTGGTCACTATCGTTTGTCCATCCTTGCTGGGGGTCCCGGTCGATAGATATTCGCATCGACGCAACCAATCCACTTCCTCACTAGTACCAACCAATGTGCCTTTTTCTATAATCTGTTCCTGATCACAAAGGTTCAACACACGTACTCCTGAGATGTCGGTGGTTCTGACCAAGGTTCGAGCCACTTTCCATGGAAGGTCATTGTCTACCCTTTCCACGAGTACACAACGATGGGCTTGCCCAGGACTCCGAGGAAGACTAACCGGCACAATCGTTTCCGATCTCGGCGGAAGAACAATCTTCTTAAGGCTGTACACATTCCCTGGTAACGCCCCTTCCACGAAAAGTTCTTCTTGTCCACATTTCAAAACACCTTGCTTAACGTCGATCTCACAACAATTCTTCCTCATAAAGTCTAGGCCCAGGATGCAGTCGTCCATTATATCAGCCACGATGACATTATGCAGGTAGATCATGTTGCCTAGCTTCAACTCCATCTCCTTCTCTCCACGGACGGGTATGCGCTGACCGGTGGCTGTCACCAAATTAATGCGTTCTCGGTTGTATGCGGAGTCCCCAAGGAACCGACTTATAAGTTGGGAACTGACAACCGTGCGAGAGGCTCCAGTGTCTATGGTCAGTTTACACGGCGTTCCGTTGACTTCGCCCTTGATGATTAGGCTGTTCCCATCATGGGTTTGTGAGATCGAAATCCTTGGGGCTCTTTTAACATCAGCCAGCACCCGCCCCGCAGTCCTGGCTCTTACTCGTTTACCTGCTGCTGCTGGGCGGTGCTATTATCCGCACTACCCTCTCGAGATCGATCACCTTCCCTTTCTACAGTTCGTTTAGGGCAGCTGGATCGAAGATGGCCCCTTTCCCCACAGCCGTAGCACCTAGGGTTATAGCCCTTATTGCGGTCCTGAACTGTAGCTGCTGCAACCTCCCTGACGCGGTGGGAACGATGATCCTGCCGCACGGCTTCCACCTCCAGTGCATGGGTCAGGGCGTCCTTAAGCGTCTGGTGGTGCCCGAGCCTCACAGCAGCTCTGACTTCAAGGTCGCGGATGCCGTCGATGAAAGTCTGCACCAGGTTCCCTACAATGAGCACAGGTACAGACTGGTACGCTTTTCGAACCAGCTTCTCCACCTCAAGGGCCCACTGCTGCAGGTTTTCGTTACTGCGTTGCACGCGATCTTTGAGCTGCGCACGAAAGACGTGTTCCAGGTGAGCATCGCCATATCTCGCCTCCAATGCCTCAAGGAGCTGCTCGTAAGTCACTTCCTTACCGAGCGCTTCCAAAACAGTTAAGGCCTGGTCGCGTAGGCCTAGGGTGAGAGCAGTCATGGCCTGACTTTTATTCCAGCCGTTCGCTTTCATGACAGCCTCGAACTGGATTTTGTAGGCCGACCAGGAAGAACTCCCGTCGAACGGCGGCACTTTGAATCCACGTAGCGAAGGTGTTGTAGCTACCACGGGAGCTGTGATTCCATCCCCAAGTTTGAAGTCGTCCAGCGTTTTCTTCACATCAGCCATCACGTTGTCAACCCGATTGTTCACTTGGTCGATTCGGGTTTCAGCTTCCGACAGGCGGTTGTCATGTTGAGCAACCCTATCCTTCACCTCCTTTATCTCTTTCCCGAAGGTAGCGTGAAGGTCCTTCCTGAGGAGCATCTGTTCTTCCATACCGCGCTGCAGCTGCTCTTCCAGCCGACGGGTCTGTTCCTCCTGTCGGCGGGCCTGTTCCTCCTGTCGGCGGGCCTGTTCCTCCTGTCGGCGAGCCTGATCCTGCAGCATCATCATCAGAGCACCCAAGTCAGGTGCTGCAGATGCAGGAGCTGCTGACGGGCCAGCCTCCGTGGTTAGCAACTGGCCCTCCGACGTTTGCGGCGTTGCATTACCAAATCGTCTCTGGTCCGTCTCCTGTTGGCGTTGACTTCGGGTACGGATACCCTCCGTGTCGTCTTTAGGTAAAATCGGCATATTTGATCCCACTTCTGACACCAATTGTTACGAGCTTCGGGTTCGAGACAATTAAAAACTGCCGACTAAATTACCAAAATTGACACTTTAATTACACAACACTAATTACAATCAAAAATCACACTAATAATAAAACACAGTTCGCCGTTATTTCGCTTCGAAGTATTCTCTTGTATCGCCAATTCAATACTGCCCCGGTCGTGGTCTATACCGGCCTTATAAAGGGCCTCAGATAGTTTCCGGAACCTTCTACTGTAGCGACATCTAGAATGTTCGAGTACATATCGGTCCCGAAATTTCTGGAAGGATCTTGACTCTCCTAGTTCTGCTACTCGACACTAGAGGGCGCTAGTGTACCTAGTGTTGCCATGTACAAGACATTAATAGTGGCACGCAATACTTTCATTTACTCGACACTAGGGGGCGCTAGTGTAACTAGTGTTGCCATGTACAAGACATTAATAGTGGCGCGCAACAATACTTTTTTTTATTAAGTATTTTATTCACCGATTAAAAGTTATTTCTTGGTATTTGCTAATATTTCTTGAATTATTTGTGCAATTTCTAAAACACACCATGGCGTATTTTGTCAAGAATTTTTTATATAATCAACACAGCATGTGTCAACTTACTAGCGCCTATTGAGCGACTGAGTAAAGTGCGGCAATATCACCGCAGTTGAATGGAACAGCGTAACATAATACAGTGTCGCCTCTAGTACGTAGTACATAATAGCTCAATGGTTACAATAGTTACCATTAAGTGTATTATTAATTGCGTGTTGTCTTGATGTTATTAGAAAAATTTAAAGGCTGTTTGTTAGTTTTTAGGCTTTAGTAGTGAGTAGTGAGTAGTTGTTGTTGTTTTTATTATTTTTTTGGGTAATGTTTATATTTTTATATTTTTATGCGTGTGTGCGTGTGCAGGGTGTGCGCGCGCGGGTGCGCGGACGCCACGCTGCGCGCGCGCCTGCTGGAGGCGGCGGCGGCGCTGGCCGACCTGCTGCTGGCCGCGCACCAGCAGCACCAGCACCACCACCACCACCAGCTCGCCGCGCTGCGTCGCGACCTCATCCGACCATACGGTAACCTACATTACAACCGTTTACACGCCCCTTACACGCTAGCTTTTGCTCTCACTTTTACAACAATCACGATCCTGATTAACGAATAACCTACCGTGCAATGCGCTCATTGACGGTTGCATGAAATTGATTCACAAATATCTGGATATTTTGATTTTTACGTCAATCAACAATCAGTCACGAATTTTAATTGAACGTGTAATGGCACTTCGTCAATCACGCGTCAGTCAACGCTAAAACAGCAATGGAGGTGGACGCAGAATATATTGAAGAGGCGGCTTCCACGCGCTCGAGCAGCCCATCGCCACTCCCGCCAAACGTGCTTCAGCCAAAAAAAGATTTTATTTTAAATTTTGAGGTTCCCCCCGAGTTGTGGGACACAAAAAACCCCGAGTAGGGTGGATGAACCTAATACCAGCCACACCCCTAATTCTAGCCTTTCCACCTTTTTACTTCGTAAATAAGATTTCTAGTAATCTTAACTACAAATATTGTCGACTAAAAAATTCTTTGTAACTAGAAGAAAATATATTTCAAATATTACCTCACAGTTTTAAGCCTAACAGTGTTAAATTAAAAATCAAAACACGTACACAACTAAATACGCTCATTTTCCTAATTTTTGACAAGTTATAATCCCAATACAATTAAGCATATTTTACATTAACTCATCTCTTTAGGCTTTTTGATTTATATGAATGTGTCTATTTTGTAGTTAAGGAAGTTATGATCAATTCGTCTATATTTTAAAATTAGTTTTTGATTTAAAAGTTTAGCAAATGATAGATGCTTGCTTTTCAAACATTTGGTATATGTTAAGAACACCATACAATATTTAATTACTTTTTGAGAAAAACAAAAACAAACAATAAATATAATTAACAACAACTAAGTAATACTAATTTTACTATAACTTAAGAACATAAATGAAAAAGTCATAACTTACAGTATATAGTAAGCTTATTTTTCGTCAATAAATGTGTTTCAAATAAAACCGCGTATCGATTATGCGTTCCAAGAGGTCGAACATTGGCGCGCGTTAAATTAAAATGGGTAAAATAATATTAAATATTACACTTTTTCCTATTCGTTTTTTTTTCATTCAAGATATTAAATTACAGTTAAATAGTGAATCGAAAATGAACTTAGTTTGAAGGTAAATCCTTTCTCTCCGAAAATTTGGGTTTGACTGACATCAGTCAGCATGAGCGTGTAATGTCGAAATTATTCTATAGAATATATATAGATTGACGCTTACCTAGGCGTGTAATGGGCGTCTTACACTGATAGATACCTTACTTATACACACATATTTCCACTTTTTTCTTCATTTATCACCCCGTCAAATAAAATGAAATATTTTTTATTCCATACAAATAACATGTATATAATTTTTATTAAAAGTCATTTTTTACATTACCACTAGTTCGAAAAAAAACCTCTATTCTAAAAAATAAAACGAACAAGAAACCCAGCAAGGCTTTTTCTTTTAAAGTAAATTTTGCAATATGAAAAATTGCACAAACAGGCTTGCTATCAACCATATATGTAGTTATATAATAATAACCCTTTGTATACAGCTTGTACGAGCATGAAATGCAACGTACAATTGTCAAGTCATCATTTCACAACTTGACCTCTTTTACATATTTCCGCGGCAATTGTATTATAAAATCAGTTCGCATATAGCCATCAAGAGCGATACGCGTACTCATTATTATCAGTAATTCTAGCCTTTAAGATTTGTAACTTATCCAAAATATATTTATCAGACTTATGAAGCGTTATCAGTTTATCATCCCCTTAGTGTCGGTACAACCCCGAACATAGTTTTTATTTAATAAAATATTTAAACTTACTAATAAAGAAACCTTATATATTTTTTAAATCTTTGTTGTAATTACATATACATTAAAGTTACAGTTTAGTTAATTTTACCTATATACGACCCACTGCTAGGCACAGGCCTCCCCTCATTTCCGAAAGAAAGCAAGGAAATGTCTTCCGCACTGCCCCAATGCGTGTTATCGAACTTCACATGTCTTTCAAATATTTTTTTCTTATTTCTCAGACATACAAATTCCCTCACGATAATTTCCTTCACTGCCAAGCACAAAAATTGTAATTAACAATTTCATTACTTGCAATTAATAATTTCATTGGTGCCAACAGAGATCGAACAAAGTTTACTAACGTACTGTAAAATTTACAACAACAACTAACCACCTAAACTACCACAACTCTTAAGTACATATTATCCCAAAAAAAATTATTAATTTTGTGGAATTGAGAGACTGGTATCACTATCATGTGTTGTTGTTTAATATTTATAGAGTGTGTATTACTTTTTTACTGAAACTTCCTTTGTTTTTGTGAACATACATTCATTTTTCATAAATATACTGAAAAACCAAAGTTAATATATATTTTTTTTAAAAGACATTAAAAGGCTTTCAGTTTTAGATGACAAATAATTTTTAAAATCTCATTTTATTTTATATTATTATAGCACCTTTTTTACTGAAAACGAAGTATTCCATCTTAGTCCTTACGGGTGACAATTCATCTGCATTTTAATTCGTAATCGAGGATTGATGTCTATGGATCACACCAACCACTTACCATTAGGTGGACTGCGTGCTCGTTTGTCACCTTATTGTATAAAAAAAATATTGTTGTAACATTTTAGCATGATATGACACAGTTGAGATGTGTGTGTTAGTTTGTGTTATGTTGGTTGCAGTGGAGATCGGGCAGGGTGGGCGCGCGGGCGCGCTGGCGGAGAAGTTCGAGGAGTGGGAGGTGCTGGTGCAGCTGTGCGTGGACGCCGGGGACCTGCCACGCCTGCACGCGCTCATCGACAAATACGCGCACGAGGTTATTTTTTTGTTCATCATTCATTACAACCTATTGAAAGTCCTACAACAGCCTTTTAGAGATTGCAACTGCTGCAACTGCTGAAACTGCCGCGTTCGCGAACCAGCTTAAGCGTCTCCCACACACAAGCGGCTTGCGGTGGCGACTAACCGCGAGCCGCGGCTCCAGCCGCTGCAACAACATACCACCGCGGTTGCAGCGGCGGCCTGAAGTGCCATTCGCTGAGATGTCTGTACTACGATTGGACGGCAGTAACATGACTAACCGTGACTAAGTCTTATTACATTCTGCAATATTATTATATATTTTGTTTTTAAACCTAATGCTTTTGTAATCACGATGCGAATTATTGATTAATACTGACTAATTTTGCACTGTTTCTATTAAAATCTCTGAATTTAGCACCATTTTTCACGCGGTACACGCGGCCTGTTGTAAAAATTTGCAACTGACCGCGTACTCGCTAACACACACGCGTTGGCATAAGGGGCGGAGCATGCGGCAGCGGCCAGCCGTTCGCAGATCGCGCCATGGCCGCATGGGTTTACAGACTCACTTACATTGTAAGCGAATACAACTGACTGCAATGAAGTGGACGATTTAAATGACAAGCTCGTGGAAACTGTCCATGCGGTCGGAGCTAAGTTCTGCAAGACCCGCCGCAGAAGAACACAAAAACTCTCCGATCACACTCTTAATCTCATGGCTGTTAGACGGGAGATGAAGCTACATTCTTCAACAGATTTGACAGCATACAGGCAACTGAACAGACAGATCTCCAAATACATGCGGCGGAACTTACGCAACTTCAATACAGCTCGTATTGAAGAAGCGATCGAGCGGAACCAAGGCTCCAAAGTCTTTGCCAGAGATCTGTCTGCCAGAAAGAGCCAACTGTCAAAGCTGAAGACCGAATGTGGCAGCATCGTTTCCGGGGCACCTTAGATTTTGAGTGAGATTGAGAGGTTCTATGGGCAGCTGTACACGTCATCGTTGGAGCCGCACGCAAGTGTGAGTAACGATCCAAGAGCGAGTCTTATCCGACATTATTCCGATGATATCCCGGACGTCAGTCTGAGCGAGATTAGAATGGCTCTCCAGCACGTTAAAAACGGCAAGGCCCCAGGCGAGGATGGAATTACAGCGGAGCTTCTGAAAGCGGGTGGGAAACCGGTACTTGAAGTCCTTCAGAAGCTCTTTAATTCCGTCCTCCATGGTGGCATTACACCGGAGGCGTGGAGCAGAAGTGCGGTGGTCTTGTTCTTCAAGAAAGGCGACAACGCTCTCTTGAAGAACTACAGACCGATTTCCCTTCTGAGCCGCGTCTACGTGCTGTTTTCGAGAGTCATTACGAATCGTCTCGCGCGCAGACTTGACGACTTCCAGCCTCCCGATAAATAAAATAGACCACTTACATACCCTTCGTCAAATTGTACAGAAGTCCGAGGAGTACAATTTGCCACTATGTCTGGCGTATGTGGACTATGAGAAACCCTTTGATTCCGTCGAAATTTGGGCGGTGCTGCAGTCCCTTCAGCGATGCCAAGTTGACTGTCGGTATATCGAAGTGTTGAAGTGCTTGTACAGTAGGGCTACGATGGCTATCCGAGTACAGAACCAGAGTACGTGTTCGCGCCAAACGCTAATGTCAAGAATCGACGCCAGAGGGCACTCGGCTCGGTGCGAACTGGTTTGAAGTTCGGCCGAGCGTGGCAGGAGTGCGCGAGTCGCGAGCGAAAAAGCAGTCGCCTGTCAGCTGTGCTAACGATTGGCACGCTGCCAATTAAGCGCGGGAACTCGGAATAATTAAGCGCGGACAGTAAAAATACGGTCTAGGAGTTTTGTGGCGCGTATCCCTACTGGAGAGCTTCCCCGGGACACATTGTGTCTGACTCAGAATCTGCATAGGTGCATTCGGCAATATTAGATAGTGCGGCCTCTGATATTCTAGAATTAACTGTTGCTACGCGAAACGGTAGTGACCTTTGACCCAGAAACTCCGTGCGCGTTTTGTGCGGTAACCATTATACCCAGCGATAGTAAGTGGCTTCTGTAAGTTTGTTAATCGCACGATAGAGTTAATTGACTGTCATGGTGACGAACGAGGAGAGTGAATGTGGACAACGCCTCGGAGGGCCCCCTCAAGTTGGAGCGGTGTCGCGACGCCCGGGCTGCTGCCGACGGCTAAGGTCTAGGTTCAATCACCATCAGTCACACCCAATATTTTAGGGTAATTATAGAGATTCCACGTGGCCACACTGAGGCCCGACCTACGTCTGCTCGGGAAGTCTTCAGCTCATGGGCCCCTGAGGCTCTGACCCTTTAAGGGAGCAGTCGTAGGCCGTAACAGTACGAAACCTATTCAATTGCCGAGAGGTGTAAGACAGGGTGACGTCATATCCCCGAAACTCTTTACCGCTGCATTGGAAGATGTTTTCAAGCTTCTGGGCTGGAAAGGATACGGTATCAACATCAATGTCGAGTACATCACTCACCTTCGATTTGCCGACGATATAGTCCTTATGGCAGAATCGCTGGAGGACCTAAGCACTATGCTCAATGACCTCAATAGTGTTTCCCAACGGATAGGTCTTAAGATGAACATGGACAAAACAAAGATCATGTTTAATGTCCATGTCACACCTATGCCGGTAGTTGTTGGGAGCACTAAGCTCGAAGTTGTTGACGAGTATGTTTACCTGGGACAAATAGTCCGACTAGGTAAGTCCAACTTCGACCGAGAGGTCAATCGACGGATTCAGCTCGGCTGGGCAGCGTTCGGGAAGCTACGACACATCTTCTCGTCAGACATACCTCAAAACCTGAAAACGAAATTGTACAACCAGTGCGTGTTGCCAGTGATGACTTACGGAACTGAGACGTGGTCCGTCACTGCTGGCCGTATGAGGAAGCTCAAGGTCGCTCAGCGAGCTATGAAGAGGGCTATGCTCGGAGTTTCCCTGCGTGATAAACTCAGAAATGAGGATATCCGCAGTAGAACTATAGTGACCGACATAGCCCAACGGATTAGTAAGCTGAAGTGGCAATGGGCCGGCCATATAGCTCGAAGAACCGACAACCGATGGGGAAGAAAGGTTCTCGAGTGGCAGCCTCGTACCGGTAGGCGAAGTGTAGGGCGTCCCCCCACTAGATGGAGTGACGACCTGGTAAGATATGCAGGAAGTCGATGGATGCAGGTGGCTCAGGACCGTGCTTTGTGGCATTGTTTGGGGGAGGCCTATGTTCAGCAGTGGATTTGTGAAGGGCTGTAATGATGATGATGATGACAACTGACCGCCACCGCGGCCGCCACCGCAAGCCGCTCCTGTGTCGGAGACGCTCCCTTGCTCGCTACGTACGCTCAATGCGGTTATTGGTTTATTCGGATATTCTCTGAACGAGGGCTACTTTCCTATTTATTATTTTATTATTTTTTTTATTTAAGGAAAACATACAACTATAATAATATTTAAATCAATGTTTAAATTAAATTATTACAAAAGCCAGTTAAATTTTCACTAATTAATAATAACATACTTGATCATTGGGCAGAAATACTAATATGCATTTTGTTTATGTGACTTATTTTATTCGAGGGCGGCACTGAAAATTTCGGGAATCAAGGAAGTGACACAACATTACTATTTAAAAATGTATTTATTGCTTTTAGAAGTATTCTCCGCGAAATTTGACACATTTTTCCATACGATGGAACCAATCATTGAAGCAACCATTCCATTCGGAAGTTGGGGTCTCCGAAATTTTTTTTTCAAACATTTTGTAGGCGTCCACAGCTTCTTCATGTGATGAAAATCTCTGTCCACGCAATTTATTCTTTATTTTAGGGAAAGTATAGAAATCATTAGGGCTTAGGTCGGGGCTGTACGGCGGATGGTCTAATAATTCTATGTTTTCTTGCTCTAAAAACTCTTTTGTTCTGTGAGCGGTGTGAGTCGCATTGTCGTAATGGAGGATGATGCGGCGGTTGCAGTTTTCTTTACGGAGTTCAGAAACCTTTTTGTTCCTTAGTAAAAGTAAATGTATGAAAGAGCGCCAAGCTACTCTGCCAACATTAAGACTTTAACAAACAGTGCTGAAAAATAGGCGAATTATAATAGTGCTGTAAATGTCTATTCTCGAACAATTTTATCGATATAACATTTCCAACGCGCGATCTATACAAAAAATGTCAAGTCCTCATGATTGAACATTCTCTATTACCTTAAGATCCATCAATACTAAAAGGAAAAAGACGTACGACTCATTCGAGCTTCCCAAAAAAATCTTTTACTTTCTTGGAAGGTTATTTACATAATAAACTTAATAAAATTTTAAATCTCTTCACAGAAACAAAAAAACCCCTGTAAAATAAATGTCTCCAATTGGTTGGAGACGTTGGATTATGATATGATAGTTAGATATGATATAGTTGTAATACGAATGAGTCGGCTCGACCGGGGAAGGAACACGCTCTCGCAGAATATCAGCGTAAGGTAGCAGATCAACACTGCTGTGCTTCGTATGGTGAGTGTAGAGAACCGGGGACCCTTTTCACTGGAAACGAGGAATTCCATCTTAGTCCTTACGGGTGACAACGCATCTGCATTTTTTGTTGTTGTTTGTGGTCTAACCCAAATCATTGGCGTAGGGCAAACAGAACACCCACACACAAATACACACACTCAAACTTGCTATTAATTGCATTGTTTTTGGACATCAGGCCCACGCACAACATCTGTATATTTCTTTAAGGTGTGTACAATCAAATTGTGGGAAATAAATAAAAAAATAAAAAAGTATGAACCAGTTTGTAATAAATATCCTTTCAGGCCGCGAGCTATTTAAAAAGTGGAAAAGTGGCAATTAGGATGGGGATGAGGATGATAATGGTTTATGAATTCCTATTGTTACCAATCATCATGTCCCCTCTGTTGAGGTTATTTTTGAGCTATCTAACCGCTGTCCGAGGGGGAGGGGACGAAACTCCGCCTCTTACTGCTTAGCTCATATTGGTCGATGTTCTGGGCGGTGAGAACCGGTGTGTGCTGGAATGCGTCGTGCCCGCCTAAGGGTGCAACGCGCCC